TCTGCTCATGATAAACGATCTCAAAGTTGACGCCCCAACGTGGAAGTACGTAGACGATACTACCATCTCTCAAACCATAACCCGTGGCTCCCTGGGTGACGTACAACGCGTTGTTACTGCAGTGGACACCTGGTCCCAATCCCAGCTGATGCAACTCAACGCTGACAAGTGCAAAGAGTTAATTATTGACTTTAAAGAAAATCCTCATAACTTTTCTCCACTTGTTGTAGATAGCAAAGCCCTTCCCGTCATTGATTGCGCCAAAATCTTAGGTGTTACCATATCTAGTGATCTCAAATGGAACAATCACGTCGTAGATTGCATTAAGAAGGCAAACAAGCGGATATATTTCATTGTTCTCCTGAAAAGGGCTCGTGTACCTTGTAATGACATTGTTGATTTCTACTGTACAACAATCAGATCTGTTCTAGAATATTGCGCTCCCCTCTTCCATCACGCGCTTCCCGCTTACCTCAGTGAGGATATAGAGAGAATACAGAAAAGAGTTCTTTCCATAATTCTCCCAGATATGTCATATCAAGACTGCTTGGACAGACTGGGTCTGCCAACGCTAAAAGAGAGACGCAATGAACTATGTAAACGACTCTTTGATTCAATCGCCAACAACTCGGGGCATAAACTACACAACTTACTGCCTCCAAGAAATGAACAAAGCTACTGCCTGCGACAACAGAGAACATATAATCTACCACGCTCGCGCACAGACCGCTTTAGACAGTCCTTTGTGTATGCAATGTCCAAAGATGCCTAGCAACAAACAACGCGTAGTACTTAGCTAGTAACCATACATATTTTAATCCCATTAGATACTTATATTTTTATATCATGTACATATGTTTGTGATTAGTTTTAACATTTGCCTATTTATATATTTCTCCGTGAAATACGCAATTCAGTCTTATGACTGCGATGTATTTGTGAATAAACAGTCTATCTATCTATCTCTATCTATCTAGCTCTGGAAAAGGCTCTCCTTGAGATGCAGGTCCTATGCATGACACTCTTAATTACACTGCTGGGTGAGATCCACCATTACGTACGTATACGATCTCTTCTTTGTTATCTTTGGCTCCAGTCCTGTCATCATCTTGTTCTTTTGCAAACTCCAGAAAAACCTGAGGATATCATTGTAGTTGAGCAGTTTGATCAGTCAGTGAACAAAAGCCCATTTTACAGTTGTGTGCTTGGTTGTCAAGCCTTTGAACAGGAGTGAGGCTAAGGGTGACCTTGTTATGATACAAACCTTGCTGCTTTTCAAATGCAAATTATTTTGTTATCATGCTACCTGGATACTGGTCTCTAACACATCAAGGTCACCTTCAGCCTCACTCCAAATCAAAGGCTTGGCAACTAAGTACACAACTGTAAAATGGCCTCGTGAAACAAGTGTCATGTAATACAATATGAAGCAGGGTTGAAAAGTGATGCATTGTTTTTATTTTGAATGAAGAGGCAAGTGGTGATACCATTTTTTCAAATAAAAGCAAACAGATAATCAAAATAAGTAAGTAAAATACGCAGCTAATAAGCTAAAATAGCAGCTGGCAAAAGTCTATCAGTCCAGTTGTGGTTGGCTTACAAGTAGGCCCTCATTCGGGATTCTCTGCCCACAGGAAGATTTAAGATAAGTTGGGGAGGTTAGCTGGGGTTCTGGCACTATTAGTGCAACTGATTGGTTGCAACTGATTAGTTGGGAAGGTAGTGCAAGTTTCCCAGACCATGCGTAGTGGCTGAGGGCAGAGTAAAGGAAAATAAAACCAATCCCCGATTGTATTCAACTCTCAACTAAAATTTGCTACAATTGTTGACCACAAAGGAGCAAGAAAAATTTCATACCTGTTCCAGTGTAGACTGACTGAAACTGTACTCCTCTATCCCAATTTCTTCCTTACCTAAAAAAAAAACCATACAGCTGAATCAGTGAATGAATATGCTATCAAGTTGTACTTAAAACACTGCTTTAATATTGTTGTTCTCCTTAACCCTGTCAAGCGCTTTGGAACAAACACATTAAGTTACAACTGTGCTGGCATAATCATGAGGTTCTACCAATCTAGCAAAAGCTTCTTGACTGGAACCCTTCTGTAGCACAGCTTAAAATGTCATGGGAAAAGAATACTACCAAATCCTGTCCAATTTGATTCAGGATTTTTGCACAATACTGCTCATTTTACTGAACAAAAAGACTTGTAGTCAGTCAGTGTTTTTGGTGCAGGCTCAAAAGGAATGTTGCAACTCTGTCACAGCTGGTGTGTTTGAGTTCTTGGCTCTTTACAACTGAACACCAGTACACATATTCTCAATACTGTTCTCTATTCATTTTTTAAGATGCTAGCAAAGAGAATTTGTTAACTAATCAAGAGTTCCTTTAATTGGTGATATTTCTGTTTCCTCTGACCTTAGTGTGAGATTCAGAGGTAATATTTCAGGGAGAAATTAGATTTTAGTCTCTACAGGTTAAGCAGTTTTGTAGCGTTTGTTCCTCAGCAGTTGTAAGCACATTTGTAATGGTTGTTTTCGAGAGTCTTTCCCTCCCCCACCTGCCACAATCTCCCCCTTCCTTGATTTTTCTTCCACTCAGATCCAATTAATATTGAAAGGGGCCTGGGAAAGGGGCTTATTGCTGGGTTGAGGGAATTTTGCAGCCATATTTAATCTGGGGCTGTCTTGCCACAGTGGAAGGCTCTTGATATTCCAGGCACCCACCTTCCATTTTAGCAAAGTTGATGAATGCTATCAGGCCCAATCAATCCTAAAAGATAGACACCATACCTTTTTCAAGCTTAGTAAAGATGACTGATAGTGCCCCAACACCTTCCTTTGGGACCTTGTATATCACTCTTCCACCAAACACTTCAGACTGGGTTGCACCTGGAAGCAGCTCAATGACATAGTTGTGTAACTGCTCCATTGAACCTTCTGGGCATGGACCCGAGGTGTGGCTTTGCTTCAGTTTTAATTCCAAGGTGTAACCACTACCATAAATACTCTTTAGATGTTGTGTTGAACCAAGACACCTGAAAACACAAGAAGTTGAGTTATTGTCCATTCTACAGTTGCATGTTTGGTTCCTAAGCCTTTGAGCAGGAGTGAGGCTAAGGTTGACCTTGTTATGATACAAACCTTGCTGCTTTTCAAATGTAAGTTACTTTCATTGTTATTATGCTAACTAGATACTGGTCTCTATCACAACAAGGTTGCCTTCAGCCTCACTCTAGATCAAAGGCTTGGCAACTAAGTACACAACTGTAAATGACCTATTATTCAAGAAAAAGGTTAAGGGGACAATAACTCTTCCTTATAAAAGAAAAGACATTTGTTTGAAATATAACTTACTTGAGTTGGCCTTTAACCATGATTCCAATTCGTGAACACAAAGCATCAGCCTCCTCCATGGAATGTGTTGTTAGAACAGCTCCTCTGTTTCCATGGACATTCCTGCTAATGGTGTTCCTGATAATGGGACAGGAAAACAAGCAGCAACTTTGATACAGCAAACTGCCTAACTTTGAACATTTATATGTGAGTTTGTTTAATAGTGGTGATAAGGTCACACAGAGATGTCCAAAGCCGTGAAAGACAAGTTAACGCTTGCACTAAGAGTTATAACAATTTCTGTGAGATGAGGGAAAAAACTAGATATTGCCAGAAAGTGGTGTGTCACAAAACATCAGAAGTTATAGCAAGAGCAGCAAATGGTTTGTCGTAAGAAAATAAACACATGACAGATCAATATCAGTATCTGGGCAACTGCCCACCTACCCCTCCCCTAACCCAACATTAACCTTAACTTGTTGTCAATTGACTGTTGTTGAGTTAGGGGAGGGGTAGGTGGGCAGTTGCCCAGACACTGATATTGATCCCACATGACTACCAAATAATTTCTCCTTTCAGTATTACTCCTGAATCACACATTAACCCTTTAACTCCCAGAGGTGATTCACACGTAACTTCTCCCTACAATATCCACCCACTATCCAGCAAACAGGTAACGAGAATACTCAAATGCATCAGGTAGGAGTTGTTATCTTGATCTAACACCAAATTCTTGCAACTAATTTACAAGGAAATGTGTAGCAGCTAGATGGAAGAATTAACAATCAGATCCTGGGAGTTAAAGGGTTAAGGTCACAAGAAGAAAAGAAATGATCACCAGCTAAAGAAGTTCTTGCTATAATTTTTAAACAAAGTTTCATGTCAGTACATTAAGAAATGTACTGTACTGTATGGAGAATTTCCATATTGATGTTAGGTTGTAAAGGATTAATCCTTTACCCACTGACATCAGTAGGCATATTCTACACACTTTTCTCTACATATTTCTTACGGTGTTGACAAGGAGAATTTGTATACCATTCCAGAACTTATTAAGTTAATGATCATTTCCTTTTTTCTCCTGACCCTGATGTTTGACTCAGGGGTGATATTGTCAGGAGAAATTAGATGCTGGTCACTCCTAGGGGTTAAAGGATTAAACATGAAGGATATAATACAGTTCAGTCAACTTCTTACCATAAGAAACGTCTGGCAGAAGGGTCCATGCCTGTGGAAGGTTCATCAAGCAGCAACAGCTGTGGATCCCCCAGCATTGCCATGGCAAAACTGACCTTTGAGAACAAGAGATATAAAGCATTGGTATAAATTGACTACCATTCTACAAAAATGCTGTGATCTGATAGGCTTTGTTTCTTGCTATCCATTGAGCAGAGAAGAGAGGATTTTTCATCTTTCTCACTTGCAGTCAACCAGCATTATAACAAGAAGAAGTAACCAATACATAGTCTCCTAAGAGCAACAGTACATTACACCACATTAGAGGAATAACTGAAAAACTACAACTTAATTAAGGATGCACCTGAACAAAAATTGGTCTGACATACATTATTTTATAAAAAACAGTGACCTTTCTTTTTGTTCCTCCTGAAAGATCTTGAGTCCTCTTTTTAGCATGCTCAGTAATCCTTAAAGCGGACATATAGCTAAAATAGAAGAAAATATTTTTTAGGTCAATAGAGGCAAAGAACCAAGTGAAGATACAAAAAGCACTTTCTGAATTAGCTAAGGAATGAATAAGCCTGAAAAACTCAGATATCTTTATCCACCATCCTCCCAACACACATGAAATTCTTGTTTGCCTGAGGCCAGTTCAGTTATCAGATAGATTTATAACCAAGTTTACTGCAAAAATGCAAAAATTGCAAAAATCTACCTCTGGTTTTGGTTCTTTCCAAACAATGCAACAACTTTCACTCAATTGCAAACTGGCTAAAAGCAAACATGCCAGGCACCAGGCATGAGACAGACACAATGATTCAGTCACTCATGAGAAAGCACTCCTATTGATATGCAAAAAAATTATTCTTGCTATTATGGCCCTGATAGGAAGAAAGGTGGTTACCTTAAAATTAACCAATAGCTTAGGAAAGAGAAATGTTGCACTCTTATAAGGCATGAAGGTTTGCCTGAGCTTGTAGTCTCTCAGAAAAATGAACTCACTGCTCAACGACCCGTTTGACCTCTCCCCAAGGCACACCACGTATCCTGGCAAAAGCCTCAAGGTGCTCTTGCAATGTTATCATTGGCCAGAGTGCATCTTCCTGTGGGCAAAATCCCATGTGTTGAAATGCCTCATGGGACTGTTTTCTGACATCATAACCTGCTACATAGACCTGGGACAAAGAAGGACAAAACAGAATCTGAGTGTTTAATATGAAGGAGCAAAATTTTTAAACACTTACAGGGACCACAACATATTGTAAAACCAGTAATCACACAGTAAGTTGTGAGGGTTAGTACAAAGAGTCAAGAAGAGGTCAAAGTAAAACCTAGCATCTAATTTCTCCTTACAATATCACCCTTGAATCAAACACTAAGGTCATGAGAATAAAGGAGATGATCACCAACTAAAGAAGCTCTTGATTGTTGAACAAATTCTCCTTGTCAGAACCTTAGGAAATGTCTAGAGAGTAGTATGCAGAATACAAAAACTGATGTTAGGGAGTAAAGCGTTAAGATTTGCATCAGAATATCACAGATCAAGTAGCTTATATTTATTTACCTTTCCTCTTGTTGGTGGAATGTCTGCTGTGACCATGTTAAGGGAGGTTGTCTTGCCAGCTCCATTTGGACCAAGAAGTCCGAAAACCTCTCCTTGCTCAACACCAAAGTACAGGTCTTTGACAACTGTTTTAGCCTTCTTTCCTGAGCCAAATCTCTTCCATAGTCCCTAAGCAAATGCAAACAATACCAAGAGCTTTAACTATGTCAATAAAAGTAATACTATCAATAACTGAGTGCAAATCTATCAATTCTTGAAGGGGGTAAGTTTCTAAAGAAACTGTGGTGGTGCTTCGGTGGGAGAGTATAACAGGGTAATTTAGTATTATCAACTGAGTTGACAATGTCAATTGGCCACCATAAGGACTTTGAAACCTGACCTTTTGAGTGTTTGCCTTCTTCATTTGCTCTGACGAAGGGCTTATATGCTCAAAATGTCATATTTCAAACTCTTTACAGTGGCCAATTTACGTTATCAATTCAGTTAATAATACTAAATTACTCTTATCGATTCTTAGTTGTGTAATATTGTTCAGATAAGGGGGAAGACTTGAAAAGAAGCTCTCAGCAGTCTTAAATGACAGATCAAACCTGACTGATTGTCTTGGAGTCTCACATTAAGCCATTAATGAAAGATTATAATCGTTAAATGCTCTAATGCTCAAGAACTGGTTGTTGACTCTCCTCTTGCTGTAACATGTACATTTCCTCATAAATAAGTAATGAGAATTTGGTGTTAGATCAAGATAACAAGTTCTACCTGATAAGTGTGAGTATTCTCATTACCTGCTGGCTGGATAATTTATAGAGAAGTTACATCACTGTTATTCACCTCTGAGAGTTAAAGGGTAAAATTGCCAAATAGGCTGTAAAAATACCTCACCAGTCTAAAAATGTAGCTTTATGGTAAGCAGGATAACTCTGACTGGTTGATTTGCTATTACAGTCAAATAAAAAGGATAAACTTTTTGAAAAGATCACAGTACAAAGTACACAACGTTCCCTTAGAAAACTTCCTCTTTCTCACCTTTACTATTGCAGAAAAGGTAGACTCTTCTATGGAAACTATGTTTGAGACTTTTTCTTTTTCCCTCCTAACATCCTCATCAGTTTCATCCAATGATTGCTTACTTCCCTGTTGCATGAAACTGAAACTTCGGTCTACATGTACATTGTTCTTGTCAGTCATGCTAAAGAGGCAAGCAGAACTCTGACTAAAGCACTCCACAACAAACAAGAAAAGGAAAGGGAGGGGGGGGGGGGGGGCAAGAGAGCATCAACTTGGCAAAGGTCAATAAAATGCATTCACAAAAAGGAACCTAGAGGTATCCAATAATTGGATTCTGATTTTTGGTCCAAGCTGGATTCTTTTGTTAAGGAGTATACCTCTTACTAATCCTTTAGCCCCTAAGAATGACTAGCATCTAATTTCTCCTCACTATGTCACCCTGAATCAAACATGAAAGTCATGAGAATAGAGGAGATGATCACCAAATAAAGCAATTCTTGATGGCAAAAAAAAATTCTCCTTGTCAGCCTCTTTAGAAAAGTACGGAGGACAGTATGGAGAATATGCATACTGATGTCAGGGTGTAAAGGGCTAAAATTACACATTTTTACTGCTATCTACTATCATAAATTAATTAGTACACTTCATTACCTTTTGGAACACTTGCAACTCACAGCACCACCAGTTTTATGTTGGTCCAAGAGATAGATCAGCCCAGAAAACAGGATAGTATGACAAACAGGCTGAGAAATGACAAAATAGAAGAGATATCAATGCAAGACATGATGATCAAAACTTAATGTCAGATGCATACAACTGAATTCCACTTGACACCTGTTTAGAGCTTTGAGTCCCTCCACACAAATACTCCAAATTGAAATTATCTCCCCCCCCCCTCCCCCAATGCAGCTGACTGGAAATTATTTTAATTGTAAGTAAATTATTATCAAACATTTAGGCTGTAAGTGAGGGCTTGTCTCATTTTCCATTTTGAAGGTTGTAGTTTTTTAAACCAAAGAAATGCATTCTGTAAATGCAGTATATTCATTACAGCTGGGCGGGAATTTAGAAGAGAGACATTGAATCCCATTTTTATTTTCTCTGATTTTCTAACAATCCCCATAACCCCCCCCCCCCCCACTTCTACACAAAACAGCAACTGATCAGAATGCCCAGGAAACAAATATGCCCCCACCTTTCCCCCCTCAATGCATCTTTTTAATATTTAACATAAACAGGAACCCTCCTGACATAAAAGCACAATACTGTAGCATTAATGCAGTTGAGCAATGGCCACAGCACAGTGCTTAAGTACACTGAAGCATATCTGGTAATTATGATACTCAGAGTGTAGGAATAACATGGCTCAGTGGTGAACCACTTATTAAGTGAACACATACAGCAATCAATGCAGCCGGGATGCCATTGTATTTGGTCCACTTAAAGTAGTTGCTTGCAGTGACTTCTACATCAACAGATTGACCACCAGCTCTAAATGCTGCTAAAATTGACTCATACCTGTACACCTGAAAAACATAGTGATTAAAAGAGAAATGTAAAGGACATATTTTACCAAGTGAGTCTTCATTTCAAAGGTAGAATAACAGAGAGAATGACAAGTCTGCACGTAAGCCAAGCAGCTCATGCAGCCCAAGCTCATTTGGGTTTCCTTATAATGAAGCTACTAGGAGTATTACTACTCCCCTCTGGATGAGAGGCCAGTCCATCACAAGGTTACCCCCCACCACCAGCATCTCATTAGCCCTTCCCTGACAATTTGCCGATACCCATTTATACTTCTGGGTGGAGAGAGATACTATGAAAGTTAGTGTTAGTGTTTTTCACAATAACACAACACAATGACCCATTCAGGTCTCAAACCTAGACCTGTTGAGCAGGAGTCCAGTGCACTGACCATAAGGCCTCTACATCATCCATTGAGGGAATACAGGAAAAGTGAACATCATACCCAAATTTCATCAAGCTTACTAGAGATCAGATAAAATTGTGGCTGAAAATCTCTTTGTACATTTGTGAAAGATTTGTATTTATATATACTCACACTATCAATGTAATACAAAGCTCCAAATACTGGATATGGAGGCAACAGGAACACAAACACGTAATGAAGAACAATAGCAGTATCTCGGCTTGCTGTCATATCCACAAGTGATACAGTCAAGAATGGAATTATTGCAGTCTAGAGAAAAAAAATAAATAAATAAAAAGAAACATTACTATGGAACAACAACGAAAAAAAAAAGCCACCACCAAATTCAGAGGGGCAACTACACTCAGTGGATAGATGCCACTAAATATGATGTGCACTTTCTTATGTGTCACACCTGCGTTCTTATATGACAAAACTTTTTGGTATTTCATACTAAAAACTGCAACAATTTCAGACATGCATGAAAACAACTAAGCCTCCCTAGACTTCTTTTGCTACTGCTTTCATTAAGTGTATGTAATAAGAATAATAATATTTAGCAGTAATGAAGGATTTCTATAGCCACATTTTGCAGGGTACTTTGGCCAAACTGCATTGATCAGTTGGTTTACAATGTGTGAAGAAAATTTTTGCAGAAACCCCTGATTTCAGAATCAAAGCCAGACCACAACATTAGGAGGTGGGAGGTATGTTACCTACTCGGTAACCTGGGGCTGGAACATGGCAGTTGGGCATTCTACAACCTGAGCTAACAAAACAGCGAATGAGGGAGTACATACCCCATTGCCAAAATGAGCTTGTGTAGATAAACTGAACACATGAGCCACCTTTATTAGCCCCGATGAAACAGTCATGATAGTTGATGATAGTTTAAAATAAACTATTGTGCATGTTTGAACATACACTATTATGCACTATCATCAGCTATCATTAACTTCCATTTAGTTTGGACATGTTCAAATTCGACATGATAGTTGCTGATAGTTTTAGCTGTTTGAACCAGCTGATGATAGTGAATAATAGTTTTTTGGTTGACAGTTTTGCCAAAAGCCAGCTCAAACCAAAATGATAAATGGTAAAATGACTAAAGTAGCCATCAAAATTTTGCGTCTCGTAACTCATTCTATTCATCACCTGGTAGGCTTTATAAGTATCTTCAACTTACTACCTCTGGACCAAATTTCAAATGCCACCAAAATTGCTGACCTGATTGCTATTAATCTTGTTTGCAATCTCATTGCATGATTTTGTCAACCACTATCAACTATAATGCACCATTTGGAATGCAAACATGACAGTCAATGATAGTGAAAAAAAGGGTTGAAACCATGATCGACCATGATCGACTATTGTAGCCATTTTTGAATGGGGCTTAACAATAAACAACCATTGATTATCATCATACTTACAAAGGTGAACACATTTGGCAAAACTTGCTGGGAGACATCCCATGCATTGAACATAAATGACATGAGATACGAGAACAGTATCCCAGCAGGTATGTACAGGAGGGCTGCAATCACTAAGCAGCCCATAGCAGGGGGAGGAGACAGTGAAGGCAGCTGAAAGGCTGGTATAAGTATCAACATCAGTATCACTGGAATTAAGACTACAATGCCATCAGAGATAAGAAGCTCCAGCCAATACACAAAGGATGATACTCCAGACACCCTCAATAAATGGCGCATCTTCATCTGCAAGACAGAAGTAACATTTATTTATAAACACTGTAGGTGTCATAATTAAAAGGTGACAATAGGCCTATTATTGAATTGAAATCTTTTCAAACTCTCTGTGTTGTAAAATTTTCTTTTTTCCTCAAATTTATTTAACCTTCAGTGTATTAACTATTAACTACACCACAGATGATTACCAGAATTTTCCACAGAAAGCAAATAAAAGCAACTTGGAATGACATTGGTTTTGCAGTTCTATGACCAGTCTAGAATATTGTTGTTGCCTTTTGAGAAAATCAAATGCAAAACTAAAATAACTTGTAATACTAACTTTCCCACTGTTTGCTGAATTTTCCTATGATTCACACTGGTGTTGAAGGATTTACTTTAAAATCTAATGAATCCTTGTGATATCTATCCTTTTTCTGATTGGCTGATGAAATAACCTCAGTTTTGTGTGGCAACAATCATCCAAAAACAGTTTTATCATGAAGACCCATAAACAAACACAGAAACCTTTTAGTTATCCATTCCTTCGTTCTCACCTGCCGTTCTGCTACAACCAAAATTCCAAAGCTACCTGGAATAATAGCGAGAGCCATCCCAATGAGAAGGATTGACACAAATGCTGTGTTGTCATAAGTCCACTGAGGTTTGAGGTCAGGGAAGGCAAGAATGGTTGACTCCAGTGGATAAGGCGTTTTGTTTTGACTTTTTAGAGCATTCATGTGCAGGATAGATCCCAAAATGTTGATGCCAACAGGTACACTATGTACAGCTGTGTCATTGTAACGCATCTCAAAGCTTGATGAAATATCCTGAAAGGCAGTGCTAGGCAATGTGAGTGACACACTGACAAAAACTTTCTTGATGACCCTTTAACCTCAAAGAATGACTGGCTTCTAATTTCTCTCTACAATATTGCCCTTGAATCAAATGCAAAGGTCATGGGACTAAAGGAAATAATCACCAATTTAGGAAGTTTCCCATTGTCAAACAAAACCTCATTGTCAGTACCATAGCAAATTTAAAGAGAAAAGTGGGAGAGTATGAATATTAATCTAGGGTGAAAAGGTTAAGTAATAGGAATTAATGCATACTAACTAGGTTCTTTTTTATTCAGATATAAATTCCAGAGCCTTTTTCTAATGAATGGGCCATTTCCGAGATGCCCCAAGCCTGTTTCAAAATGAGGCACAGTGTATGATGTAGGAATCAATTTACATTCTCATGCAGATAAAATTAAATTTTACATATGAATAGAGGTTTCACGGCAAGTTTCATTTTTGTAGCGAGTGCCCTTGGAACTTGGATGTGGCCTACTATTTTGAAAATGTGGGTCAAATGCTCTCACTGAAATGCTTTAATTTACTTACGCTGGATGGCGACAAATTGTCTGCAGGAAACTTGAGAATGTTAAATCCCAAATTGTACAGATCATGTGATGACTTGCTCAATATGCTACTTATAGAAGACACCAACATGGTGCCAACATTATAATCACTTAGGTACTTCATAACATGATCCATAGTTTCTTTGGTTGAGTTCTGGAGAAGAGCAAAGGAGGCGTAACTCTCTTTACTTCCAGGTTTCAGATACATCTCAGGTGTCAGTTTGAGAGGCTCCAAACCAGTTGCTGATTGGCTGTCATTCTTGGCTCCACGTAAAATTAAAAGACCAGATATCATGAGAATTGGTGGAATAATAATTTGGAAAAATATCTTGGCTGGTGAACGGATTGACATTAACCAGCGAATCTGGAAAGAAACAGAAAAGTAAAGCTCTTTAAGTTCAGCCATAGTATAAAATAATGCAAATCCAGAAAAAAGAAAATCTGCTCTAGTTTGTGTTGACAAGTAACATACCCAAAGTAATCCTAAGACTTGTTGTTTTGCCTTCCAGACTAATTTCTGTGAATCAGCCATCAGTTCTGTATTATTCAGTTCCACTCCTGTGTTATGTAGGGCATTGAAGGATCCAGAAATCCTACTGCCTCCATCTTCAATGTTGACGGCATCTGAAGGTGCCAACAGATTTGCTCTACTTTGATCGAACTTTCATAAAAAGACAGAATAGAAAGGATATTAAAATGGATTCCTCTAAGGTAAAGGAAGGCAATTTTCAGTCACAGTAATGCAAAAAAGGTCAAACATTCAGTGAAATTCAGTTTTTAAAGCACATTATCGTGGAGAAGACATAAAAGAATAAAGACTCTGGAAAGCTAGTCAACCATACAAGCATGCCCCACCCCACCGTTACAGTATTAGTTTCCAATTTTAAATGTGAGGATTTCTTACTGTTTCTTGTACATCATCTGTTGATTTTTCACTCTCTTCAGAGGTGTCTTCTAATTGAAGAAATACTTCTTCTAGAGTTGTCATGGAAACACCATAACTTGTCACACCTAATAAAGGGGCAGCACAGCCTTCTGAACTGTCATTGTTGTCCTCAAGTGCCTTGAGTAGATCTGGAATGCATGTGAAAATTGAGTAATAACATATCAATAGGAAAAGGTGTCATCAGGGAAACATCTTTCATATGCAGACACCCCTAAGGGTGTTCATGACAAGTTTACACCACTTGAGTATTACAGCCAATAACATCACAGCTAAACCAACCAATCAGTCTACACAGACCGCACCTAAAACACTCTACTGAAACACTTTTTTACTTGATTCTGATGATGACTTCTGCTAAGGTTGTCAAAATGTCATTCACCAATATATCCACAACAATTCTTGTCCAAGCTACCTTCACCCAGATGACCGGATTATGCAATCAGACAGACAGGTTTCTAATAACAATTACTGGCAGTGATAAATTTTGATGTTGATAATTGCCTAATAGAAGTGTCTGTAAACCCTTCACCGCAAAGAGTGACTAGCATCTAATTTCTCCTTGTAATATCAACACCAAAAACACATGAAAGTTTTGAGAACAAAGGAAATGATTGTAAACTAAAGAAGGTCTTGACTGTTAAACAAATACTCCTTATCAGCACCTAAGAAAAAGTATGGAAAACAGTGTGGAGAATATGCATATTGATGTTAGGGTGTAAAGGGTTAAAACAATGGGTTCATCTCAGGGTAAATATGGGAAGAAAATTAATTCACAGCCGAGTTAGGCTTAGTCATTATTTTTATATTACAAGAAAAATACCACCAATTGAAAGTAACTTGAAATCGGCCATTTGTAACAGGCAGTAATTCATTAATTTTACCTGGAAAACATGATACTTGTTCCATAGGAAGAGCAAATGACATTTCTTTGCCATGGTGACGGATAGCTTCTGCACCTTCTACTTTGCTTTGAACAAGCTCAATTAATGGCTGAGTATTACAATTCTCAGCTAGAGCCATACTGAAGGGAAAAAATATTGTCACTCAAAGAAAGAGAGTGCTCTGCACTTGTCATAAAAATTAAAACCAGTGAGTAAAAGTAATCACAACAGCCAATTGGAAAAATATATCAGGAGTCAAAGAGAACTCAAAATAGAAACTAGCAAACCACTTTAAGTGCAGGAAAATATGAAAGACCAAGTCCAACTTGACTTAACCCTTTAACTCCCAAGAGTGACCAAGACAGAATTTCCCCTAACAATATCAATACAATATCAAGCAAACAAGTGATGAGAATAAAGAAAAATATCAATAATGGGAGGATTTACCAAATTTTCCAAAACAAACATTGCCGACAGTAAGGAGAATTACTAAAAATGAGATCTTGGGAGTTAAACGGTTAAGAAACTCCAGACTGAAAGAAAATATATGGTAACATTTAACCTTCTGGTCAATACTTACTTCAAATGATATCCGATTCCAAAGCGATTCTTGAGAAAAAGCGAGCTTCCTGCACAGCGCAGTTTTCCTTTAGATAAAATAGCCTTGTAATCTGGGAGTATAGAAACACATATTCATTTATTCAGCATTTGAATAATTATTCAATCCTGATATAAAAATTCCCGCTGAATTTTTTTCCCCATATTTTAAACAATTTTTGATCAGAGAACCATATGGAAAAGAGGGAGGGCTTTATCAAAGAGTGTTCTGCGAAAAAAATGACGAATTAAGAGCCAGTCAAAGCAGAGATACAAACCACAAGGAACAGTTACTTGTTACAGTCAGATATCAGTTAATAATTAAATAATTTATTTACCAGCTAAAATGTCAGCCTCATCCATAAAATGTGTTGTAAGGAGAACCACTCGGTTCTTACACTTCTCTTTCAACAAGGACCACATGAGTCGTCTTGAATATGGATCCATTCCACTTGTGGGTTCATCTAAGATGACCACCTTTCAATTGTGTACACAATAAATATCAAATATGATATTTGAGTTGACAAACTTGATTACACAAGTACACTTGAGTCCTGGTCAAGAATTCTGATTCCAAGCCTGGACCCACAAGGGTCACCGAGTTGAAGCCTATTGGATATGACACTATTGGTAACTCTAAAATCCCCTTTCTCTATGTGGGGGTTAAACACTGTCCCACAGTCACTTGGCAGAATACTTAAAAGGAAGGATTCTCTGTTCTGAGGCCCATTTCTCAAAAGTCCCTGTAACTAAACGGGGCCAGAAGCCATACTTGAAATCAAAATTTTAAGGTTAGAGAAGCAGGTTCTGGCATCCCAACCAGTCCAGTTTGTTTCTTTGGCTGATAGTTTTATTACATATAACTTTAAAAACTTTTGAAACCCCCATCTTAAAGAAAACCAGAACAGCTTTTAATTACCTATGAGAAATGGGCCCCTGGACTAACATCCTGCCTGATAGAAAGGCAATATTTCATGGATCAAAGGGTTGACCTTTAATTCACTCCAAGGAGAGATGGAAACGAAATTTCTTGAAACCACATCACTACATTTACGAGCAGAAGGGTGATGAGAAGACAGAAAAATATCAGCTACTGTAGGCATATGGTTTGATTAAACACTAAAAACACAGGACTAGAATGCATGATCAGGAATATAAGGCAGACATTAAAGAGAATTGAAATTTTGATATATGTCTTCTGGAAAGGTCAACAGGGGTTGAGTTATAGAAATGACATTGGGTTTCTCATAACACTTACAAGTTAACAAATACGTACAGGTATGTACCTTTGGATCTCCAATGAGTGCTATGCCGACACTTAATTTCCTCTTCTGGCCTCCACTCAAATCTTTTGACAAAGCGTCCCTTTGGTCTGCCAAGTCAATTTCCCTCAACAATGAACTCACCTTGAAAAAAGTGCAAGTTACTTGATATCATTTCTCTGCATTGCATTACACATCTTTAAAATTCATCACTTCACATGATTTGCAGATACACAGATTGAAAGAAATCGTGGCTTTTCATCTACAGCCAGAGGTGATTCAAATAAGGCAAATCATCATTTTCTCATGAAAAATTAGGGAGTCCTATCATTTCTCACTTTATCCTTTTCAAAGGAAGCAATTTAATTTCTCTGTAGAATAGATGAACCACTATTTTGGCAGTATCATGAAGAATCACATGTGTAAGGGTATCTGAAAAGTGTCATTACTCCAAAACTGGCCTGTGGCAGTTGCAGGTTCCATTCTAAAGAAAAGGCCTGAGGTAACATCATAGATCATGTACTGACTTGTCACTAATTTATACAAGTGGCAAAGATTTTCACATGCAACAGAGATTTGTTATATGCAAGTAGCAACTTTACCATGTCACCTCTCTGCTCCACTGGCACTTCTTTCAGGCCAGAGTAGAACTCTAAATGTTCTTTCACTGTCACAAAGTCAAAGAGTACATTCTGCTGCTGACATACACCTTGTATAAAACAAAAGCAAACAAGATGAAAATTAGTTATATCTAAAGGATCATCAAACTCCACACTGATAAGACATGGTCAAAACCAAGATTACTGACAAAGAAAAATGTAGTAAATTTCACACTAGGTAAGGTGATTGCATTGATGTCGGCATCAAAGAACCTCTTCATCTACCCTTCCCCTAATTCCACATTAACCCTTAGTTGTTATCATGTAGTTCATTGATGTTTGGTTAGGGGAGGGGTAGGTGGGCAGTTGGTCAGATATTGATACTGATCTGGGTTATCAATGAGAACTGGTTGTCAGAAAGGGAAAAATACACTTAATTTGCATTCTCACCAATGCCTTTTCTTATTT